CAAGGGGAATGTTACACTTTTCCAGTGATCCACATCTGGAATGTCCTTGTGGTTCCTGGCAAGTGGATCCTGTTCTTAAGTCCTTGGAATCTGGGAGAGCACTTTCTCTTTAAATATCCAAAATGGTCAAACTGCTTGTAAACATTCAAAATGGCTGTGCCCCCCAGACAGGTAAAAATCCACAGCTCAGCCTGCCTTTCTCTTCGCTGCTTCCCCTTTTGTTCACCACCCACCACAGTAGTCCTCAGTGTAATGCCTGGCTAGCAGGGCTGTTTTTTAGGTTAATTCTTAAGTCCTACCACCACTCCATAATATGCAAGCTGTCTGTGCTGTCAGGATTGCCCCAAGACTGCAGCTCTGTATGTCTCCATTTTTGGTGTTTTCATGCAAATTCTTCCACTTGTTGGAGTTTAGTCCACTTATTGGAATTTAGTCCACTTCTATATCCTTCCCTTCAAGGCTCAGGGGTCCAGGATTATCTTCTGTATCTATGTTAATTGGTTGTCCTTTTCTTTGTTGAAGAGGGTCTGTGCTGTCTTTCTGCCAATTCCGCCATCTTACTGGAGCCCTTCAGGATAGATCTTGAAACATTCTTTGTGACAATGAGTGTCACACCATTCCTCTTCAATTTGTCATTCCCACCATAGCATATCATATTCTTTTCTCATTAAAATGGCCAAAACCAGTCCATTTCAGCTCACTAATGCCTAGGATACCAATCATTGTGCTTTTTATTTCATTTTGGACAACTTTTAATTTTTCTAGAATAATGCATCGTACATTCAATGTTCCAAATTTTAATGGATGTTTGCAGCTATTTCTTCTCATTTTGAGTCATGCCACATGAACAGATGGAGGTCCCGATAGCTTTACTCTATCTACATTATTAAGGTTGATTCTACTTTGAGGAGGCAGCTCTTCACGAGTGGTATTTTGAGTGTCTTCCAACCTGAGGGGCTAATCTTCTGGCACTATATTGGACAATGTTTCAGTGCTGTTCTTGAAGTTCTCCAGTACTATATCAGACAGTGTTTCACTACATTCATAAGACTTTCACTGGCCAGTTTTTGAGAAGTGGATGGCCCCTTCCTTCTTCTGAGCCTGTCATAGTCTGGAAACTCCACTGAAACCTCTCCAACATTGGTGACCCTGCTGGTATTTGAAATACCAATGGCATAGCCTCCAGTCTCATAGCATCAGGAAAGCCACAAGAGTAGGATAAACTGACAGATGAGTGGTGCATAGAGCAACATGAGCTATGGGAAATCAAGGTAACCCTACAAAAGGAACTGTGATTTCACCATAAAAAAAGAAGCACAGTGGAAAGCAGTTTAAGACCATGCCTTGGTTCTCTAGTTCTGCTATAATAGAAATATCACAAGTGGATGGAATTGAGAAACAGGGGTTTATTCTCTTATAGCTACCCACTGCTGTCATTGAGTCGACTCTGACTCATAGAGACCAATCCTTGGGTTTCCGAGGCTGTATCTCTACAAAAGTAGATTGTCCTGTCCTCCTTCTGGGGAGTGGTTTGTGCCTTTGAACCACCAGCCTTCTGGTTAGCAGCCAAATTCTGTAGGCACTACGCCACCAGAGCTCCCAGTTTAGGAGGCTAGAAGTCCAAATTCAGACTGCTAGCTCTAGTGATCACTGAAGGCACCTCAACATTGGGCTTCAGCTCTGTCTCTTCTTCCAGGCACACTGGAGCTGGAGGTGTATCCTATCTCAGGTAACTGCAGGCAGCTGAAGTTGATGATCCCAAGGTCAGCAGGTAAAATGATATAATCACAAGATCTTTAGGCAACATGGAGGGCCTCTGGTTCAAGCCCATAGACTAGAGATGAAAAGCCAGCAAACACAGGATCCAAATGTGTCAAAAATGTAGATGCAGTATCCAAATCGAATAGAAAGCTAAAGAAATTTTCCCAGAGCAGCACAAATATATTGGAGATAGTCCACATACCTGAGGAAACTTCCTTTCAAATGTTTGGCTCCTCACAGCAGCATATCTCACCACTGAAGTGATTGCATTACATCAGATCTCATCAGGAATAAATACATCCAGCTGCCAAAACACTCAAAACCATGACCCAGAAACATTGACACACAACCTTGACTACCACCGAGGATTTGAAAGTTGAGAAGTGCTCTGAATCTTCCATAACATACAATATATTCAACCTTCAATAATTGTGATTCCATTCTTTCCTAATTCACATAAGAAGCTTACCAAGTTTGTGAATTCAGTTTAATTAAGTAATTAAAAAAATTCAATCTCAGAATTACGATTATTATTAATTTTAGCCATAAGGCCATGTGCATTAAAAGGACCCACAAGGATAATCACATGAACTATATGAATTTGGGAGCTCTGGTGGTATAGTGCTTAAGGTATCTGACTGCTAACCAGAAGGCTGGCAGTTCAAACCCACCAGCCACTCCTCAGAAGGAAGGTTGGGTAATCTACTTCCATAATGATATCACCTTGGAAACCCAAGGAGGGGTCTCTATGAGTCAGGTCTGACTCAACAGTAGTGAGTATTTTTGTTTTTTTTATATGAATTTAACTCTATGGTGTCAGGGATCTGACATATATCTGTTACCAGCAACAGAAATAAACTTTAACTCAAATTTACTAAAACAAGAAAGGAATTTATTCACTCAAGCAACTAAAATTTCAAAAGTGAAGCTAAATTGATTAAAGAGCTTGAAGATGGTCACTAACTTTTTGTCCATCTTTTGCCATCATTGTTATCTAGACTGACTTAAAATTTTAAACCTCTGTACATGTTGTAGGAAAGATGGCTTGTCCACATCACAGGATTCATATGACCATACAAATAGCTAACACCATCGATGCCAACAAAAAGCTTGGAGGTTTGATTCTACCTTGGAAGAAAGTTCTGGCAATATACTTCTGAAAAATCAGAAATTAAGAACAGTTTGGAGGATTGGCTCTCAGCCCAACAGTAGAAACACTTACATGCAGGACACCTACCCCAGGGTGATGTACCCACCTATTCTAGGCAGATGCACCTCTTAGGTCAATAAGCCATGAGACACCAGAGGGGCAGCATTCATATAGAAGGAAAACTGGACAGTAATGTATGAGACAGTATTTCACTGTTATTCTTATGATTTCACTGGCCAATTCTTTGAGAAGTTGATGGACTCATCCTTCTTCCAAATCTGTCTTAGTCTGGAAGCTCCACTGAAACCTGTCCACCATGGGTGACCCTACTGGTATTTGAAATACCGGTGGCATAGCCTCCAGCCTCACAGCAATATTCAAGCCACCACAGTATAACAAACTAGCACATGAGAAGCTGAACTATATGAAGAAGAGCATGGCATCAGGATCAGAGGAAGACTCATTAATGTGATACACAGAAGACACAACTTTCCTTGCTGAAAGTGAGGATGACTTGAAGCATTTACTGATGAAGATTAAAAGATTACAGCCTGCAGCATGAATTAGATCTCAACATAAAGAAAACAAAAATCATCACAACTAGACCAATAGGCAACATCACAATAAGTGGAGAAAAGTTTGAAGTTGTCAAAGATTTCATATTACTTTCTTCTGCAGTCAACACCAATGGAAGCAGCAGTCAAGACATCAGATGATGTATTTCACTGGGCAAATCTGCTGTAAAAACCCTCATTAAAGTGCTGAAAAGCAAAGATGTCTCCTTGAAGACCAAGGTGTGCCTTATCCAAGCTGTGGTGTTTTTATTTGCCTCATATGCATGTGAGAGCTCACATGCATGAACAAGGAAGAAAAAAGGAGTTTATGCTTTTCAGTTGTGTTGGCAAAGAATACTGAAAGTACCATGGACTTCCAAAAGAACTAACAAATCAGTTCTGGAAGAAATGCAGCTAGAATGCTCCGTGAAAGTGGGTAGGCCAGACTTCACCTCACCAACTTTGGTAATGTTGTCAGAAGGGACCATTCCTTGGAAAAGGATATCATGCTCAGAAAAGTGGGGTGTCAACAAAAAAAGGGAAGGCCCTCAATGAGATGGCTTGACACAGTGGCTGCAACAATGGGCTCAGGAGTGGTAAGGATTGTGAGGCTAGCAGAGGACCAGGTGGTGTTTCATTCTGTTGTACATAGGGTCACTATGAGTCAGAGCCAACTCGACAGCACCTAACAACAACAGTATGTGGAGTAAGGCCCATTATGTAAGAAAAGCCAAATGTAAGTCATTATAACTGCCCTCCCTAGGAAAATAGTAAACAAAAAGCAATATCACAGTCCTGGAAGGGTTGAAGAAATTTGTGCCACATTTAAGGACTTGAAGTTTGCAGAGGGGTGGTGTTTCCCACTCCAGCCCCATTTATCAAGCCTATTTGGCCTGGGCAAAAAAACAATAGATCTTGGAGAATGACAGTAGATTTTTGTAAACTCAAGTAGATAATGTCTCCAATTACAGTTGCTGTTCCTTATGTGGTTTCATGGCTTGAGGAAATTAATACATCCCCTGATACCTGGTAGGCAGCTATTTATCTGGCCAATACCTTTTACTCAATTCTTGTTTAAAAGGATCACCAGAAGCAGTTTGCCTTCAGCTGGCAAGGCCAGAAATGTACCTCCATGGTCCTACCTCAGAAGTATATTCAACTTTCCAGCATTATGTAGTAAGTTAGCCTACAGGAAGATTGGTCACTTTTCCCTACCACAAAATATCACACTCGTCCATTATATTGATGACACTATGCTGATTGGACCTTAAAGAAGAAATGTCAATGACTCTAGACTTATTGGTAAGACATGTACATGCTAGAGGGTAGGAAACTAACACAACAAAATGCTGGCACCTTCCACTGAGTGAAACTTCTAGGGATCCGGTAGTGTGGACATGTGGAGATATTCCTACTAATGTGAAGGATAAGTTATTGCATCTGTCCCTTCTCATAACTAAAAAGGAGGCACAATCTGTGGTGGGACTCCAGATTTTGGAAGCAACATATTCCTCATTTGTGTATTCTACTTTAGCTTATTTATCAAGTGACTTAAAAAGCTGGTAGTTTTTAGAGAGGTCCAGAATAACAGAAGGCTGTGCAATAAGTTCAGGTTGCTGTGCAAGCTGATCTCTCACTTGGGCCATATTATCCAGCTTATCCAATGTTGCCTGAAGTGTCAGTGGTAGACAGAAATACTGTTTGGAGTCTTTGGCATGCTCCTATTAGTGAATCACAGCACAGACCCCTTAGGATTTTGGAGCAAAATTCTGACATTTCTGCATAACTACTCTAATTCTTAGAAACAGCTTTTGAGTTGTCACTAGGCTTTAGAAGAGATTGAATGCCTAATCACAGGCAACCAAGTCACCAGGTGGCCTCAGCACCCCATCATGGACTGGGGGTTGTCTGACACACAGAGTCATAAAGTTGGATGTGCACCATAGCACTCCATCATTAAATGGAAGTGGTATATAGAGACCAGGCTTGAGTAGGACCTGAAGGCACAAGTAAATTGCCTGAGGATGTAGCCCAAATGCCCACTGTTTCCACTCCAGTCAAATGACCTTTCCTCTCCCAGGCTGCATTTATGACTTCATGGGGAGTTCCTTATGATCAGTTGACTGAGGAAAAGAAAACTTGTGCCTGGTTTATAGATGGTTCTGTCTGATATGTAGGCACCACTCAAAAGTGGAAAGCTGCACTGCAGCTTCTTTCTGGGACCTCCTTGAAGGGCAATGGTGAAGGGAAATCCTCCGAATGGGCAGAACCTTGAGCAGTTTATCTGACTGTTTACTTTGCGTGGAGGGAGAAATGGCTGGATGTGCAATTGTATACCGATTCATGAGCTCTGTTCAGTGACTTGGGTAGATGGTCAGGATTAGAAGAAACATAATTAGAACATGATGACAAAGAAGTTTGGGCAAGAGGGATGTGGATAAACCTCTCTGAATTATCCAAAGAAACGAAAATGTTTGTGTTTCTTGTAAATGCTCACCAAAGGGTAATCTCAGCAAAGAAAGATTTTAACAATCTAGTGGATAGGATGACATGTTCTGTGGAAACCAACTATCCTCTTTTCCCAGCCACTCTTGGCATTGTCCAATGGACTCACGGACAAAGTAGCAGTTTTGACAGCATCAAGGTTATGCATGAGCTCAGCAACATGGGCTTACACTCAAAAAATACTGATTTGGCTACAGTCACTGCAGAGTGCTTAATCTGCCAGAAGCAGAGACGAACACTCAGTCTCTGATATGAAACTATTTCTCAGAGTGATTTGCCAGCAACTTGGTGGGAGATCGATCACATTGGACTACTTCTATCATGGAAAAGGCAGCATTGTGTTCTTTCTGGAACAGAGACTTATTTTTGATATGGATTTGCCTTCACTGCATCCAACGCTTTTGCCAAAACTTACAGAATATCCTATCTACTGTCATGTTATCTTACACAACATTGCTTCAGGTCAAAAGACTCACTTCAAAGTAAATGAAGTGTAGTAATGGGTGCATGTTCATGGAATAAACTGGTCTTACCAAATTCTCCATCACACTGAAGAAGCTGGCTTGATAGAATGAAGGATACTTTAGAATACTAAAGACACAATCTGAATGCCAGCTAGTGGTGATGACTTGCAGGGTTGGAGCAATATTCTCCAGGAGGCTGTATATGCTCTAAACCAGTGTTCAATATATGGTGTTGTTTTCCCCATAGCCACAGCTCACAGGTCCTACAACCAAGGGGTGGAAATGAGAGTGACACTACTTACTGTTATCCCTAGTTAACCACTCAGAAAATTTATCCTTCTTGTCTATAAGATCTTATACTCTGTGAGTCTGGAGGTCTTTGTCCTAAAGAGAAAAATACTTCCACTTGAAGACACAATACTGATTTCACTCAACTGGAAGTTAAGTATGTCACCAGTCATTTTGCACTCCTCTTGCTTCTGGAAGACTGGGAAATCTACTTCCATGAAGATTTACCACCTCCAAAGCCCAAAGGGGTTGCTATGAGTCAGAATTTGACTCAATGGCAGTGAGTTTGTTTGTTTTTGCATGCCTCTTTGCATGCAAAGAAGGAAATTACTGTATTTTCTGGTGTAATTGATCTCAATTACCAAGGGTTAAGATATTACATAATGGAGGTATAGAAGAGTATATCTGGAATACAGAAGATTCCTTCTGACATGCCTTGTGATTAAAGTCAATGGAGAACTGCAGCAACCCAATTTGTATGACTATTAATGGGCCAAAACTTTCAGGAATGAAGGTTGGGTCACAGCATCACACAAAGAACCATGACCACCTGAGATACTTGCTGAAGACAAAAGGAATATGAAATGGGTGTTGGAAGAAGGTAGTTCTAAATACCAGCTATAACCACATGACCAGTTACAGAAATGAAGACTGTGACTGTTGTATTTTTCTTTGTATGTGTGTATCAAATATTTTAGTTTTTTTTCACTTATAAAATGTAAGATATAAATGGGTAAAGTGTTTTCAGTGTACAACTGTTAGTTGTATCATGTTAGGCACGAATATGACTATAATTGTCGTTATTTAGAGATTACGTATAGTTTATGTATATATGTGTAGGTGCCCAGTTAACAAAGGGTGCACTGTGATACCTAAGGCAATGTGTCAACCTAGCTCTTCCATGATTCTAAATATTTTAACAGTTATGATAAAGTTATCCCTCATGATGATATCTGATATAATGTAATCACTTACATAATGAGATCTGTTATGAGAAGCTAATCAGTTGAAGGGAAGTTTCCTTTGGGATATGGCCTGCTTCCAATATATATGGAAAAGTTCTGTCAAATTTCTGTTGTTTTTTGCTCAATCTGGATCCTAGATCTGGCTCATCAACTGATCTCTGGTTCTTGGACTTGAACCAGTGGCCTGTCATATTGCCTGACAGTCTTGGGACAGTTGCCTTCACAGCCTGTGAGCCAACAGCCTGGCATCTTACCTTCTGAACTTGGATTCATCAGCTTTTGAAGCCAACAATCTGTATTGTCTGTCAATTTTGTGTTCCTTAGCTATGGGGTTCACCCTGAAGCTATGTGAGTAAGGATAAGCCCTCATCTTGACATTTGACCCACCATGTTTCCTTGAGATAAATTTCTCTCTCTCTCTGTCTCTGTCTCTCTCTCTTTCTGTGTGTGTGTGAGTGTGTGTGTGTGTGTGTCTATCTGCCTGTCTAATTCTCTATATACATATAATCTTCAGTGGTTTTGCTTCTCTAGAGATACCAACCCAGACATGGGGCTTGAATTTTTCCTTCCATTTTTTTCAGCTTGAGAAATGTCAAGTGTGTTTTTTCCTTTTGGTTTCCTAACCCAAGGTCTTTACAAATTTCATTGTAGTACTTTGTCTTCTAGAGCCACCCTTTGAAATCTTCAGTACATCTCTTTTACCTAATCATTTCTTCTTCTTGCTTTAACTATGCCTTATTCAAGAGCAAATTTCAGTCTTTTCTAACATCCATTTCAGTTATTTCTTTCTTCCTTGTCTTTTTAATTTTTTTTTTTTTTCATTCTTCATGTATGATGTCTTCAATGTTGTCTCACAACTTCTCTGGTCTTTGGTCATTTGTGTTTAATGTATTGAAATATATTCTTGAGATGGTCTCTAAATTCAGGTGGGATATATTCAAGGTTATATTGTGGCTCTCTTAGGCCTGTTTTAATTTTTTCAGCTTCAAGTTAAATTTACATTTGAGAAACTGATTGTCTTTTCCACAGACAGCCCCTGGCCTTTCTCTGACTGATGATATTGAACTTCTTCACCATCTCTTTATACAATGTAGTTTATTTGGTTCCTGTGTATTCCATCTAGCAAGGTCTACATGTATAGTTGCCATTGATGTTGTTGATCATAACAAATTATGAATAACATTTGGAAGAATAGGATTTCCAGTATAATAATTTGTGCTCTTTTGAAATCCCTACATACATGAAGAGGCAGTCATTTAAACAGAACAAAGAGATACTGAGTGGTTTAAAATCAGAGAAGGTATACATCAGTGTAGTATCCTGTAACTATATTTATTCCATCTGTATGCTGAGCAAATAATCTAAGAAGCTGGGCCGTATAAAGAAAAATGTGACAGCAGGATGGGAGGAAGAGTCACTAACAAACTGCAATATGCATGACATATATACAGCCTTGCTTGCTGAAAGCAAAGAGGACTTGAAGCACTTACTGATGATGAGCAAAGACTACAAATGTCAGTGTGGATTACTCCTCAACATAAAGAAAACAAAAATCCTTATAAGGAGCATATGGCAAACGGAGAAAAATTTGAAGTTATCAAGGATTTCATTTTACTTGGATCCACAATCAATGCCCAGGGAAGCAGCAGTCAGGAAATCAAATGGTGCATTGCATTTGGCAAATCTGCTGCAAAAATACCTCTTTAAAGTGTTAAAAAGCAAATATGTCACTTTGAAGATTAAGATGAACCTCACTGAAACCATGGTATATTCAATAACCTCATATGCATGCAAAAGTGTGATAATAAATAAAGAAAACTGAAGAAGAATTGATGTATTTGAATTATAGTGCAGGAGAAGAATATTGATTGTACCATGGACTGCCACAAGAATGAACAAATTTGCTCTTGAAAGAAGTACACTGAGAGTGATCCTTACAAATGAGGAAGGTGAGTCTTCAACTCATGTATTTTAGAGGAGTTATCATGAGGGACTCAACTCATGTATTTTAGAGAAGTTATCAGGAGGGACAAGTCCCTGGAGGACATTATGCTTGATAAAGTAGAGGGTTAGTGAAAAGGAACTTCCAGAGGTGCAAGCTGGATTCAGAAGAGGACATGGAACATGGGATATCATAGCTGTTGACAGATGGATCTTGGGTCAAGGCAAAGAATACCAGAAAGATGTTTACTTGTGTTTTATTGACTATGCAAAGGCATTTAATTCTGTGGATCATGACAAATTATGGACAACATTGAGAAGAATGGAAATTCCTGAACACATGATTGTACTCATGAGGAATCTGTACCTTGACCAGGAGGCTGTCATTTGAACGGAACAAGGGGACACTACGTGGTTTAAAATCAGGAAGGGAGTGTGTCAGGGTTGTATTCTTTCTCCACACTTATTCAATCTATATGCTGAGCAAATAATTCAAGAAGCTGGACTATATGAAGAAAAACGTGGCATCAGGATTGGAGGAAGAATCATTAACAACCT